ACCATATTTTCCAGATATGGCACCATCAGATTACCATCTTTTTCATTCGCTGCAAAGTTGTTCGGGTTTTTTCATCTAAAAAAAGCGACATTAATTTCTTGACGACCTAATATATGTGTATATATAAAACTTTTAACGAATCAAATTTCACTTCCTGTAGATATAACAGTTCACAAGTAACTTGTAAAATTGTTTAACGTTCATGATCTTTTGAACTGCTTTCAGAGGTTTGACTACTGTTCAGGCTGGAGACATTTACTTTTAGAAATGAAATTAAGACTGTTAAAAAATACAATGATTTTAAACATATAAATTCATAAGAAGAAAGTTAAAAATATTGTAAACCATTATTATCTTTGTAGAATAACTTAAATTTATAAGATTACAACTTAAAATCAGAAGAAACTGTGTAATTTCTAATTAAATTCATGAAGATACAGATTAACTAAAAAAATAAAATATAAGCACACTAGAATTCTAATTCAATATACTTAAATGTTACAATAAACTAAAATGTTAAAGATTATCATTTATACCTCTAGTACATAATTAAATAAATCAATTTTTTCACCTTTTAAATTGGTGTTTTACATTAAGATATTTACTTAAAACAGGTGGAAAATATTACTTTTTTAAGCACCCTTTTTAATTTGCTATTAACAATTATTCATGCAGGCTTTAAATTTTGTAATAAAATTTTCTTATTTTATTATTACATGACCAAAATGGATAAACTTAAAAAAGGTACCATTAAATATTTAAATTTTTTTATTGAGACAACTTTTGAAAATGTGCTAGAATTACTTTAAATGCATTTACTTTCAAAACTAAAATGTTGACCATATGGGTATAAAAGAGGTAATTTTTTTTCTTTCTTTATATTTTCTTTAATATTACATTTAACTTTTACTATATTGAATCCCTTTTCAATTTCTCTATCTCAATAAAGACATTCTTTTAAAAAACGTTATATTTTTTTCAATTTTACTTCTCTGACTTCTATAACAAAAGTATAAATTATTGTAGATAAACATGCTTGTATATTTAATTTACAGTGAAGCCTAAAACAAAATCCAATTATATATGTGATTTGGAAGGTTTATAATAAATATTTGTAATCAGTTCTCCATTTTCTTTAACTTTAACTCGAACATACAGAAAGGGTAAATTTTTCTCACCTATCTGAAATGTAAGTTGTATATTTTCTTTTATGCTACTTAAAAACTTTCTCTCTTTTTTCTATTTGCTAATTATTAATCAAAATTAAAAACAATTATCCAAATATCTCTTCCATGATATTTATAAATAATTAATACAAACGAAAGTAAAGTGATTTAACAAAATCTGGGGTTCCATTCTCTGAGGTGGACACAGCAGATAGTCACACAGCATGTGAACTTTTGCCATGTGAATGCTCGTCAACTTCAAATCCTTTACAATTATTTTGTTAAAGCTACCAAAAGGTTTGTTGGGCTGTATTATAATAGTGTTTTGGGTTGGAGGGTATTCTTTCTCTGTCACCACTTTCATGTTATTTATTAAGTCTATGACACAGTTTTCCAGCCATAAGTCTAACTGTGGTGACGTTACATTATCAAATGGTTGGGAATTCTCTGTGAAACAATTATATAGGTGTTAAACATGCCGACCGTGGCACCACGGCATATAGCTGCGGTAACAAAGCACTGCGGTAGCATATACATATCATTAATGTGATAAGCCCTGTGTGGTGAAAATGTATGTTTTCCGGTCTTACAAAAGCATTGTTAACCACAAATGATCACTAATTATACTAACATAAAAACACGAAGTCCACCTTCTTGCTCAGACTCAAAGGAAACATTCTAAACTAAAGCTGTTAACACAAAAATACTTACTAAGTGTTGATTTCTACAACTATGGCTGATCAGATATACGTTGTTTCTTAAAATTATGAAGATAACTTCTCTGAAGTCTGAAGGTATTTGGAGAAAGTTGATACTCGAATGGTATGAGAGTTGTTTGTTATTTTAGATATTTGACAAAAACTTTGAGATTTTTTTGAGCACTGGTACCACCTGTTCATATTAAAGCACAATAACAAACAAGTGGTGAAAGATGTGGAAAGTGTAGCTCAAGTTAGGATTCATTTAGAACGTATTATAATAGGGATAAGGATTTAGAGGATTAACAAACAAGTATGAAAGATGTGGAAAGTGTAGCTCAAGTTAGGATTTATTTAGATCGTATTATAACAGGGATAAGGATTTAGAGGATTAACAAACAAGTATGAAAGATGTGGAAAGTGTAGCTCAAGTTAGGATTCATTTAGAGCGTATTATAACAGGGATAAGGATTTCGAGGATTATTTGTAATATACGTAGTCAGCAGTCTCTATTGAAGGCTACAACTGAAAAACAAATGCTACATGTTTATACACGTGTAAACAATTTTACGCCTTAAACAATGGAAAACAAAAGTACTGTAACTTTTAGTTAAAGAAAAAAATCACATAACTATGTTTTATTGAGGTATGGGATTATCATTAAGTGTTGATGGAAGATCAAAACCTAGTTTGAAAAAAGTGTTACAATTTTATACAATTCAGATCAGAAAAAAAAAATACTTTGTAGTTTTCATATGTAAGTAAATAATAAAAACATAATCAGATATAATAATTCCATATCT